AGCTTATCTTTGAATCATTTTCAACATTGCATAGAAAGCTAACAAGAAAAGATGTTATTTTTCAAAAATGTAGAACCCAACTTTTCCTGAGAATTAAGTGGGCAGAACTGGAAAAACACACAATGGGGTGCCATCCCAGATCAAGTAGTCCTACTGCCACTGACTTCCATGTCCTTTCTTCCAACTCAAGAGCCTCCCAGAGTCCTTGCCTCCAACCTGGGCCTCTTAAACACACTCTCCACACCTCATCAGAGTGCTTGCAAAACCACCAGACCCACAAGAGCTAACTCCAGTTTCTAGTGGCATTCAAAGTCCTCATTAGAAGAAATGCCAGCCAAGTGTTTCCCTTTTCCTCAGGGACCCTTAGGCTTCTCTTCTGAGAGATAATACCCTTGTCACCCTCTCACAGGCTGCTCCTGGGATCAGGTGATAGATGGTGAAAGGGAAATGAAAATAAACTGTTAGGTTCTGCACAGAGGCACAGCACTATTTTCATCAAGTGCTCAGATAATGACTGATGCTTTCAAAAAGAAAAGCCAGTCGGAAGACCCAGGTTAGCATCACTAGGCAACACATTACGGGGATTGCATACAACTTTTAAAAATAGAAACAGAAATGAAAACATTGTAAAGAAGCAAACAGATGGACTGCCTGACTCATGGGTGAGAACAAGCATTTTATGTGAAGCGATTTCAGAGTTAATGTGTCTCCATGAAATGCAAAGACTACCCTGGAAAGAAATGGTCAGCAAATGAGAGCTGGACATGTGCTGTCCTCAAAGCAGGAGGGCAGTGCTCTGCTCACACTATTCTGGGCCTCAATCTCATTCCTGAAACTTATCATTTTGGGCCTCAGTCAATTACTTCTCTGTATACTGGTTTTCTTATCTGTGAAATACAGATTCCTTTTACCTCAGAGGTTTGTCTGAGAACTAAATACTAGAGTGTCTTAAACAGCACCCAGGATCTAGGTAGTAGTTCATAAAAGACAGGTATTATTATCAGCCAAGGCAAAATAAAGACTTGCAAAATTACTTAAAATTCTAATCTTCAGAAAGGATAAAATTATATTTTAAATCATTCAAGAGTAACCCACAGTTTAATTACTGATAATTCAAAGCAGCTCCTGAATTTGTTCAAACCCCTCCCTGATTCTAGGCCCTGCTCCTGGCGCAGGGGACCTGGCGATAGATAGGACAGACAGGAGGCCTTGCCCTGGGAGCTTTACAGTGCAGGGGTCCTGAGTGGAGCTCCCCGGCCCCTGGTACTGGCGACCGAACCCAGGGGATCCACTCCTGAGCTATAGCCCCAGCTCCTTTGGTTTTGAGACAGGGCCCTGCTAATTGTCCAGGCTGGCCTCAATTTGTGATCCTCCTGCCTCAGTCTCCTGAGCTGCTGGGATGAAGGGTGTGTGCCATCACACCTAACTTTTTACAGAGGGGTCCTAAGCCACAGTAGAGTGATACAGGGGACCAGAGACAGAAGGACTCTTGAATATTTTTAAATTAGAAACAAAACAATTTGTTGACTGACTCCTGAGTAGATGCTGCATATGGAATCAAGGATGACTTCAAGACGTGGGGCCTGCCGAGTGGAGGAAGGACGTGGCACTAACAGATGCAGACAGAGCAGGGTTGGAGGCCGGTAGTTCAGTTTTGTGCCACAAGAGGTCTGCAGTGTCTATCAGTGAAGTGGATCGGCAGATGGAAGCGCGACTTGGGAAACAAGGGAGAGGGTCAGGCCAGAGACTTACGGGGCCCAAAGATTTACCTAGAGAAGCCTCTGGACTCAGAAGACCTAATTCCACTTCGTGTCCACGTCAGCAGCAGACCCCAGTCCCGCTGCCTCGCGTTTCCACACACGCCTCCACGCCGGAGCGTCCTCCTCTGGCTCAGGCTGGGAGGCCAGCCCTGGGCTTGTCACCAGTTACAGTCAGGGCTCCGGGGGACCTGGTGGGGGCTCTCCTGCCACGGCAGGAACAGCAGCGCCCCTTCACCCGGTGCTCACACTCAGAACTGTTCACACCTTTCCAGGAAACAAAATAAGAAAGTCTGCATACTAAAACAACACTGTGGCTAGAAGCCAAATCCAGTCACTAGATTTCTGAAAGGAAAAGAGTTATCTTGCCAAATGCCCATCTGAGAAAAGATGAAAACAAAGACAAACAAAAAATCTGGAAAAATCTAGATACTGGAAATGTGTCTTGTTATTTTACTTATTTTTAAAAATATTTTTTTTAGTTGTTGATGGAACAATACCTTTATTTTATTTGCTTATTTTTATTTGTTGCCAGGGATCGAACTCAGTGCCTCATGCACGCGAGGCCAGGGTTCTACCACTGAGCCACAACCCGGCCTGCTGTTTGTTATTTTTATGTCTAACATAAAAATTATCTTCTTTCTTATAATGGCTATAAATTTCTACCTTGTAGAATTGAAATTACTAAGAATGAAAAAGGATAGCAGCAAAATATGTTGGTTTAGACATTCACAGTTCAGAGCCTCAACTCTTCCATGGTTTTACTTGATATGTTTCCTCACAAAACTTTCCAAAGTCTCCAACTTACAGACACTCCTGTAGCCTTTCTTAGGGGAGGGAATTAAAGAAAATGGGGCACTGCAGGAAACAAACACACCTGATCAGACTGCAGCCAACAGCTGTTGCTGGTTTTTTCTTTTATTAAATTTTTTTTTTTAAACTTTCTTCTGAGTGGTCATTCTGAAAATTAGCAGTTTTGTGAATCTTTGTTTCTGACAATAAGCAGCAGATAATACGGCAGTCTCAACTACCATCTGCAAAGCACAATCCAGCTAAAAATACTCCATTAAATACTTTAATTTCTGAGGACATAAAATAATAAACTGTTTTTCTAACACAGACAAAAATTCCAAAATAAATTATAACTATGTGACTACCACATAATATTAAAAGAAAAAGGCCCTTTTTTTGGTGGGTACCCAAATAATTCCTCTTCTGTAGGCAGCAACACAAAAGCATTTTAGCTTTCAGGTTCTGACAAATAGTGTTGAAATAACTCCCTCCCTTCCCCGCCTCTCCTTTCTTAATTCTCCCACAGTCCAAAAAATGAGATGGAGAACCTGGTATTTATCTTCCAGCAACATCAGCACATTTCACACGAACTCTCTGATTTCCATGTGGTTCTTTATTTGCTATTTTCAAGTTAACTTGGAGCTTTACGAAAAATACTCACTCGCAGAAACAAGTCTCACATATGTGGTTTCTCTTCATCAGACCTGCCTAGAGCTAATTTGAAGGCAACTGGCAGAGGGGAATTAAACCCCTGAAGGCTACCAACAAAAGGTATGGAAAATGAGAAGTTTCTAGAATGTTCAGAGACTGTTAGGTATTTAATTTGAATTACAAGCTATAAATCTGTTTTTAAGTATCATTTTTAATATGAATAAATGCTGCTGGAAAACTGACTTTCCATTTTAATGAAACCTACTAGAAACTTTCTTGTAATGAACAGGTCACGAACCGAATATACGCAGGCTGTGTCTGTGTGTGATCAGTGTTCTCTATAGACTGTTTGTACATGCCGCCCTTTTGCTTGTGATTATAGTCACAGTATTTTGCTACCACAGCCACTGCAACAAAGTATGTCTTTATTCTCTACAGGACAGATTTGGGAGCATAGGCCACGAACCTTTTTATGCTTAAAGCCAAAGAGAGGGGAAAAAAATCTCAGCAATACAGTCTAAATGCCAGTAATTGGGCATGCAAGGAACAGAAGAGCGACCTTCATTTTGGTCAGGGTTTGGTTGTAGCTGGTTAGCTCAACACAGATTGATCAATGTGTAAAGGTTATCTGACCCAAGAATGGAAGAAGCAAGCAAGCAGATCTCAGGGACCCCTCCTCGGCCATTTCACCACTGGAGAATCCCTTGGCTGAACATGGTCTGGGAAAGCAGTAATTTAGCAAGTTAGCCAGGCTCTGAAATGCTAAAATCCAAACTTGAAAACAGTTATTATAAAACTGCAAATATGTGCTTAGTTTTTCTCTAGAATGTTAACTTTTGTTCTATTTTGGTCTTAGTTAAGGAAAGAAATTTGGAAAACAGAAAAAAAAAATGAAATGACTAATAGCAGGCAAATCCTAAACACATGTTTAGAGATAAGTCTGACTTCAGGATTTACAATCCAACTGAAATCCTCTTCTAAAATTACAGGATTTGTATTTCAAGATTATGTACAAAAATAGAACGACTCAATCCAGGCCGACTTAACATCTTAGAGAACTGATGTTTATAATCACAGAAAGTCGGGGCTCTCACATGGGTGGGGCCTAGCACTGACTTCTGACACCTCACAGCCAGACCCAGGCTTCCTGGTGAGTCACGTGTCCCTTTAGGACCCTATGGGGTCCTTCTGTTTCTGTCCTAGTGGGACAGGGAACGGCGAGACAGTTAATGGTGGTTTTTGTCCCCAGATATGGCATTTTCCCACTTTCCGTGGGGAACCCCACAAAAGGAGTTTCACAGAAGAACGTCCTGTGGTAAAGGGGAGGAGAGGTGCCGGATGAGGGGCAGGGGAGGCGCCAGGTGGGAAGACCGCATGGCCTGGGGGGTTTTCTGGCTGAACACCCCAGTGGCATCCAATAATGATGCTCAAGATTACAGCTGAGGTTTCTTTTTGTTCCAAGATTCTACAAAAATAAGTTAAATCAGCTAAGGAAGGTTACAGGAAAAAGCAAAAAGATCCAAATGTTTTTAAACATTAATGGTCATTCATATAAAGTAAATAAAAACACTAAGGTCAATTATAAACCATTGAGTACTTTCTGTGATTCTACTATTCGAAGCCCTTAAAATCTATCAATGTATTTAATCCTTTGACATAGGTACTATGATTCTCCCCATTTTCTAGAAGAGGATACTGAGGTTCAGAGAAGTGATCTGGGCTGTTTGGATTCAAAAACCCAGGCTGCCTTTGGTGAAGTATCTATGAATCACAACAGAGCCCCTGTAGCATATTATTCAAAATTAATTCTTAAAGACATAAATAATAATAAATAAAAAACTAGTACTGCCCTATTTCAGGAACCTTACATTTCTCTCAAAGACAGTAAGTACAGCCAGATGGATGGTCCCAACTAGAAGGCTCTCACATTCTCATAAGCAAAACACTGGCTTGCCTGATCCGGTTTCTGGTTCCAGGGACCTGAGGAGAGCAAGCACCAGTCCAGTAAGGACTGTGCAATGGACAGGAGCCAGAATAATGGAGCACTGGGCCGGGACCCTGACCCCCCACTGCTTTCCTTTCCACCTTACATTCTGAAAACTTCTCTAGTATATATTCATAAGTCATGTTAAAGAAGTTTATTTCCTTATTATCTATATCATTCTTTTAAAAAGTCCATCATAGCCAACGTCCAAGACCTGGTGACTGCAGAGAGCAGGAATCTGAAGTGCCTGAGCTTCCTCCCGGCCCGTGTCTGCACACAGGCATCTTCAGCACACTCTGGGTTCCCAGGAGCAGACAGCTCCTTGCTTCCTGTGTGCACTGAGCACGGCCATGACAGCACTCAGCAGCACCTCAGCCTTGCTGGCCTGCAGTGAGCATCCCTCCTGGCTGCAGCCCCTGGTCCACCGGGGTAGGCGCTCGCGCGGGGCATGCAGTGCCGTGCCACTCGGACACCTCTGGCTCACTGACTCTTTCTTCCCCTCACCCTGCCTGTCTTCTCTCCCAGCTGGTTCTCTGATTCTCCACTGCCCAATTCTGACACAGCACCATCAGAACTAAGCATCGGCTCTCCAGGGGGACAGACACAGGACATCATGGCCTCGGCGGGCCTCCAGCTCCTGGCTTTCATCCTGGCCCTATCTGGGGTCTCTGGAGTGCTCACGGCCACTCTGCTGCCCAACTGGAAGGTGAAGGTGGACGCGGGCACCACCATCGTGACGGCCATCCTGCAGCTGCAGGGGCTGTGGATGGACTGCACGTGGTACAGCACGGGGATGTTCAGCTGCACCCTGAAGCACTCCCTCCTGTCCCTCCCCACCCACGTGCAGGCTGCCAGGGCCACCATGGTCCTGGCCTGCGTTCTGTCTGCCTTCGGGATCTGCACTTCCACTGTAGGAATGAAATGCACGCACTTAGGAAGGGACAGAGAGACCAAGAGCCACGCGGCCTTTGCCGGGGGGGTCTGCCTTGTGTCTGCGGGGGTCTCTGGTTTGATACCAACGGTGTGGTACACGAAGAACATCATAGCCAACTTCCGGGATCTGGCGGTTCCTGAGGGCAACAAACACGAACCTGGAGGGGCTCTCTACATTGGATTCATTTCAGCGATGCTGCTCTTTATTTCTGGCATTATTTTCTGCACTTCTTATATAAAAAAGAACCCTGAAGCGTGGCCCTCCCCGCCCAGGCAGGAGCCCTCCTCTCCCACACAGCCGGAGAACAATCCAGCCTACAGCCTGAAGGACTATGTGTAGAGAGCTGTGCCGCACACTCGCAGCAAGGCTTCCGGCGCCTGCTAGGACTACACTGTAGACACAAAAACATCAGACACGTGCTCACCTTTCTCTACAAAAAGTGAGAAATACCTAAAAACTACAAGTAGTTTAAAGTGCCAACTAACTAGCACACACAATTACATCTGTCTCAAGATTCCTTTATTTTTTTTAATCATTGTTTTCATGTTTTATTTAAGGGTTTATAATTAGAATCGATTCTGACTGCATTAAGTAAGGCAATTAACCGACAGTGTGGTTTTTTTTATTTTTATTTTTTTTTTTTTTTTTTTTTGTTACCATAATAATATTGCATCAATGATAAACATCAGTTTTAAAATCACAGAAGCATTTCTTTAGTGTGGTTTTTTTTAAAGATGACTTACTGACACCTCTTCTAAACTGGATTCTACAAAAGAACTTAACTGCCAGGTCTAAAAAGCACCTTCCATGGTGTTAAGACTATCTCCTTGGGCAATGCTTGAGGAACCTGCTTGTTTTAAAGCCACAGGGGTGAAGGGGCCTCTGGGAAGAGCTGCCCAAACCGCACAGGGCCAGCCTGCCCTCCACTCTGGCAGGTCTGACCTCAGCACAGCACAGCAGGCGAGCAGGATGAAGGGAGCTGGCAAGCACTGCCACAGCCAAGACGCCCCGGCCCTGGGCCTAGAGCATTAAGTCCAAGTCAAGTGATAGTTTGTCTTAAAATGCTGAGGAACTCTCTTCTGCTTCTAGCAAAAGGATCCTCAGATTAACTTCATTTTTCCTACAACAACTGAGACTCGCCCCGCCCCGTTTAATCTACTACCATTTGAATGGTAAGTTATTCCAGGTTGTCATTTTTCCTTCAAATTTGATTCAGGTTAACAAAAGTTCTCTTATAAATGCGCAGTTTCAATTAGTTAATGGATGTGAAAAAAGTTAAAGACTGCTTTTAAAATACGGGTTAAATTAGTTTATGATATGTAATTTAAAACTTTTAATAAGAAAATATCAACTGGATTTTTCATAGTTGCAAGGACAGCACTGCATGCTGTCATTTTCTAATAACTCAGTTGTTAATCTATGCTACTAATTGTTCATAATACAATGGGAAAAATAAAAAAAATGTCTTTCTTTGTATACTGATAACTCAGGAAGTGGGAAGATGTTTTATGTCAATAACTAATTTTCATGTGTGCATACAGAAATAGAGACTAGAAGACTATACTTGTTCTACTTGGAACATCATCATTTTCCTCTGCAAAGGAGATTCCATTAGTTATTAATGGAACAGCAAAAATGAAAAGGTACTATTCATATAAGAACTAAGAAGGGAATCATTTCAGCAGAAGTTCAAATGATTATTTAAAATACGTCTTTTTTGGAACCCTCCCTGACATAATCAGTTGGCATGTGGTGCTAACAAGGTCTGTATTTGATTGGTCAAAATGTTATTTCCTAAACAAAACAAAATGTCATATTAAAAAGAACTGACCAAAAATGTTCTAAGACTGCACTGCCACCTGTGTGATTGTCTCGCCTTGCTTATCGTGTCTGTGCTGATACGGTCCTCACAGCCTGTTAGAGTCCACTTCATGTATACTGAGGTAGTTCTGTGCCTGCTTCAAAGGTCACCTTTATTCCCGTCAGGAATGTTTCTCCCCACCTGTGCCTTGGCATGCTTCAGACTCTCGGAGAGATGGCACTTCAGACACGGTGAAGGCCAGATTCCTGTGCACTGCAAGTGGCCATGAGGAAAGATGACGCCACGGCCAACCCCAGCTGGGTGCGTCCCTGTGCTGCGTTCTTCCCTCTGCCCGGGACCCACTGGCTCACAGCGATCTTCACCCTGCCTCCACCTCTGCCTCAGAAATTGTCGTTTAAACGAGTTATGAGTCTACACAACATCGTCTCCAACCAGAATGGGAGTCAAGGTACTGTTTCCACGTCTGTGTCCTCGGTGAGGTGCCACTCCCAGTGCCACATGCCAGTCCTGCCCTACATCTCTGCGTACACTGGCTGGTTTGCCTCCTAACACTTCCAGCTTACAGGAGCTGAGGCTGGAAGAGCTTAGGTCAGTTACCTGGCCTGCCCAAGGCCACCAGCTGAAAAAAGGGACATGGACTCAGCCCAAGGGACCAGACTCTGGAGTCAAATGCCTGGGTGTGAACCCTAAAAGCTACACAGTGCCCCGCACGAGTCTCAGTCTCCTGTGAAAATGGGGACGGAGACAGCCCCTCACACAGAGCTGGCTGAGCACGGACGCAGCACAGCGAACGCCGCCCGACAGCGGATTTCAGTGGGCGAATTTAGACAGTGCCTGGAAACACTCTGGGCTCTCACAACTGAGGTGCTGCTGCTGGACTCCAGTGGGAAGAGACCAGGGAGGCCACCAAATAGCCGACAGTGCAGAGGACAAACCCTGTGACACAGAATTATCTAGCTCCAGTTATCTAGCAGGCAGTTCTGAGGTTGAAAAACTTTGGTCTAATATATTGAATATATTTAAATATGTATTTTTCTTTGACTAAAAAGTTACCAAAATAAAGGTAAAATGGTGAAAACACCCCCCTGAATACCACGCTAGGTTTTACCTGTGGAAGGCGTATCATGTATATATGTCTGTATGTATGCAGTTTGTCCTGAAGGGTCCTTATGCTGAAGCTTGGTCTCCAGGGAGGTGGTACACCTTTAAAGGTGGAGCCTAGTGGAAAGTAATTAAGTCTTGGGGTTCCTCCCTTACGAATAAATTAACACTGGTCTCACAGAGTGGCTTAGTTCTCACGAGAGTGACGAGGTAGAGAGTGAGACCACCCTACACGCTCGCCTCCTCTACACAAAGTTAAATGACAAACACTTAAATTATGCCAGGAGAACTGGGAAGACCATTAGGATGGTGTGAGAGAAACGTAGGTGATGTCAGAGTTGGTGACAACCGATCAACTATGACAGTAAAGTAACTGGCAATGGGGTGGCACTTAAAATGACCTCTAAATCTAGGCTTGTGTGACCTGGGCACATGAAGAGGTCGTGAGTCAGTGCTATGGTTTGGCTCCTGGACACTCCTCTAAGGTCCAGGTGTGAGGGTTTGGTCCTGCTATCAGGAGGCGGTGGAACTTCAGGAGGGGGGACATGGGAGGTGCAGCTTAGGACACTGGTTTGGTCTGCCATGTACACCTGCTATGATGTGTCGCCTCCTCAGAGTCTCAAAGTAATGCCATCCTTGGTCTTGAACTGGAAAACTGTGAGCCGAAACAAACCTTTTCTCTTCAAAAAGTTAATTATTTCAAATATTTCATGAATTTCATGCAGTGATGGAAGATGGATTAATATAGTCAGCATACTGACTATGAGGAGGAGGAGGAGGAGGAGGAGGCTGGGACAAACAGAGGTGATTTCAGTGTGTGACATGACAGTGCTTCCTCATGATGTCTCCTTCATCACTGAGTCGGTAGCTCTACACAGTATGTACTGTATACCCAGCGGACACTAACTTCATTTTCTTTTTTTCCCCTTTCCCCAATCATCTCATTTATATACAGAGAAATATTATATGAAAGAGATAAATTATATGGTTATCTCAATGGATACAGGCAGAGCACTTGGTACAATTCAGTAGCTACTCTAAGGATTTAGTTTTAAGGATTTAAATCATAGCCCATAATTCTCCAAAACACTGTTGCAAACATTGTGATTATCTCTAAGAAATTTTGCTTTCATCTCATTTCATTTTATACATATAGAGCCACCTGCTTTCAAAAAGAATTTGAGGCAACTTAATAATAACTGCAGCATGATAAATATAAAACACTGAGAAAAGACTAAAGTTACAAAGAAAGAGAAAAAAATGATCTGAAATAATCCTGGTTGAAGCATGCTAAAGTATTTAAATATAAAACTTAGTTTAAAATCTCTACATAACCTGTGCAAACAAGGCCATGAAGGTTTCTTAGGGCACTGTCTGCTGGTAGGAACCTCCACAGGATACTGCCGGAGCCTGCCCAAGTTCTGTTCACTGGCTGGAGCACCATCCCCAGCTGCCCCCAGTGCTCACAGGTCTGGAGCCACCTCTGCTCAGAGGGCACTGCACCCCGACTTGCGGCATGTGGCCCCCAGCCCAGGCCTAACTGCACAGGAGACAACTCAGGGGGGCAATCTGTGCTCAAGAGGGCTCCTCTCCCCCATGGGAGCAGTGAAGAATCATTTCAAAATCTGAATTCCGACCATTTATCATGATATGTCTTACGTCCTCCTAGATAAGTGCTTTCCTAGACCACAAATGAATCCCCTGCATGTAATATTTACAACATAATGAAAAACATGTCAGAGAAGTTGCCGTATGTTTAATTTGAAACAAATGAAAACCAAACAAGAAATTCAGTAAAAAGAGAATCAAAAACATAGCTAGTTTTTCCCAAAAATATAAATATTTTCTTGAGGGCTTAATCACAAAGGAAAGAAATTTTAAAAACAAACTATATACCTTACTAATAATTTCTAAACACCATAAAACATTTAGGTAACTAAGAGAAACTTTCCAACAAAATGTTCTACATCCATCCTGAAAAATCCTTGGTAAAATTTAGTCTGTCTAGGATTCTGGCTTATGATAATAACCATAACTGCAAAAGCCTTCAAGCCAAGATTTTGGTTTCCTCAAAGAATGGGTTTTCGGCCACTCGGAATGCTCGAGCACACACACGACAAGAAGAAGGCCAAGTATTTGGTTACTGGACCCTTTCATCCTAATGGCCACCTGCCGCAGGAGAGAAAGCCCCTGAGCACAAGGGTGGCGATCTGATGATACTCTCCCCTCTCCTCTATTCTGGAATAAGTCCTCTATAGTGTCTTTGCAATCCTGAGGGCAGCGGTGGAGGTGGGATGGCTAGTGAGTCTCCTGAGTTTGATTCAGGGAAAGCTGATGCGTCTGCTTCAGAAGTGGAAGATGGACTAACTTTTTAGTCACCTGAAAACTCAGCTAACTGTGGTGACGCCAAGAGGAAATGCAAAGGTGGACACACCTGACACCACACTCCAAGATCCACAAATCGTTTTAACACTAATGGCTAGAGCCCTTGTTCCAAATCTACAACCTGAACCTGCACCTAAATCTATAAAACACATACTGCACCAGACAAGTGCTCTGCCACTGAGCCCTACCCCAGGCCCCATACACTTGTTATGCTATCTACTTTTATTTATGGAGCTAAACTATGTAAAGACTACTCTACAAAAAATTTATATTTAAGAGTTTTAGTTACCACCAAGAGATTTCTACCCTTTATCAGACTGTGAACTTCCCGAAAGAAGCTCCGTTTCTGATTTATCTCTCGCCTCCTCACTGATGTTGCATCCCCAGCCCAGCTTCTTTCAAGCAGTAGGCACCCAATATACATTCAGTGAAGAAATAAATAGATTTTATACTACATGTCCTACAGTAATTCATCAAACAGTGGTTTTGCCAAAACAGACACTAGCTTTTTAATTACTGGCAAAGAAACTTTGTTTCTGTAATTAAAACTTACTCATATAACTAGCATGGAATAGTCAAAGCCTAAATTAACATTCAAATGATTTTCCACAGATGATTTATTGCAAATAACACTGCCAAAAACGTGTAAAAAAAATCATGATGAATAAATAATGTCTGATGTAGCATTAGTTAGAATCACTTCTCAGAAACCACAAACAACACTTGATTCCTTTTCCCAAGGACTGGGATGCCTCTGGGAGCAGGAGGGGTGATGAGATGATGAATACTAATAATCAGTCACCGTCTAAGGGAGAAAAAGATTAGTGTAAGAACTATCTGTATATTTTTTGTGGTTTTTATTCAAGAGAAATAAACTAAGCCATAGTTTGCTATAAATAAACATTAGATACTAGAGACTATTTCCTATGACATACTACAGGGAAATAAAAATTATAACGAAGATCAAATTATGATATACTAAATTATAATCATAAGCAGAAACTCACCTCTGGCTTGGGGACAAAAGCCTGACCTGGAATCGTAAAGATGTGCTCCACGCTGCAGAGGTACTGGGCCATGATGGAAAGGCGGCTGCGCTGTTTGCTTCCTTTAGTGGCCGTGAGTCTCTACAGAAAAACAAAAAATGATTTTAGTGAATAATAAATCCAGAGCTAACATCCCATCGTATCTGATGTTGGACTTCTGGAAGTAAATTATAAAAGCATGGCATGTAGCCAATAGGAGGAAGAGTTTCTTCCAACATCACCATCAACAGATGCACACCTCATTCATGTGATTATACCTTATACGGTCTGTGTCATGCGTAATGCACTAAAAAATCAGGGAATAAATCTTCCCTACCACTGACTGCTGGGGATTTTCAAGCCACTGTCACATTCTATAGAAGGTGGTCCAGCTTTATAGAACTAATAATTGATGATGAAGTTAGCAAGCATAATTAAAAAAAAATAAAGATGCTCAAATACTAAATTTCCTGAATTATCCCAATATATGAATGAACATTTTGAAATACCCCAATACAAAAATGAACATTTTAACAGTGTGCTTTTCATTTTTAGAGAACTGACTATTCTTGACAAATAGTGTCTGCAAATAACTAATAATGTATTCTTTTAAGCACCTATTTTTATTTTGAAATGTATTAGTAATAATCAAATTAATTAATAAGTGCAATAAAATTTTAGTTAAAATTGCAGGATTAAAAAAAGAGCTTTGATTTCCATGTACAAAAAAATTTGCATACATTTTTAAAAGTTAAATTCCATAAGGCCAAGAATGACCAAGACACTTCTGAAGAGTACCAGCAATGTTGATAGGGGGACTCACTCTACCAAGTGTGAAAATTATAGTAGTATGCCGTAGGCACAAACCCAAGATTTGGAGAGCTGATAAGTGACAGATGTGATACAGAACTGCTAATGGGAAAAGGGATGAACCTTCAACGGAGATATGAGTATAACTAGGTATCTACAGGAGGAAAAGGTATGACCCCTCCATAGTAGGGAAAATTTCTTAAATATGCAAAAGCAGAAGCTCATTAAAATGAATGTCTATACGACAAAAACACTATGAAGACAAATTTCAGACTGAGAGAAGGTATTTGCAGGACTAAAGGATCTGTGTTTGGAATGCAGAAGGAATGCCTGCATGACAGGCATTAATAATCCTAAGATAAACAACAGAAAATATGGTAAGACAGATCACAGACGAGCAACCCTCAGGGGCTGAACCATGAACTGTGCTCAGCCACTTTACAGATCAAAACCACAATGAGATGTTGTTTCATATTCACGAAACGAACAACACATTTTTAAAAGAGCCTGCCAGAACCTAGCATTGGCAAGTACATGGAACTACAGGAACGCTCGAGCATGCTAGCACGGGAGCGGGAATCATCACAGAACTCCGGAGCACAATCTGGCAACATGTAGCAAAGTGGAAGTTAAACAAACCCTCACGACCCTTTAGTTGTGTCTCTGGAAATACACCTTAGAATGGTTTATGTGCTTGCACAAGATGTGTATATGAATGTTAATTGTAGTATTACTGCATATTAAAAAAAAGCAGAAAAACATATAAGTCCATCAAGAGGTGAATGAATAAATTGTAGTACTTTTGTGAATGAAATAAGAAATAATAATTAAAATGAACGAGGGGTCATCAATGTAGGTTAAATCTCAAAACAGTAAAAAATTAAAGTGGCAGAAAATAAGTCTAGTGTGACATTTATATAAGAAGACACTGTTGTTTGCATTGGTGTCCTGAGCTGACCTGTTCTAACAGCCCGGTTTACTCTGCTGCTTCTAACGGCGGTGGGCCTGAGACCCACACAGTCTGGCTGGTTGGAGTTCTGCCTTAAGATCAGAAACTAGGCTCTGCATGAGATGCTGAGGAATCTTCTCATGAGCAAACCTGGAGATTCTGTCACATCTGTTTTGATAATCAGAAGTCATCCCCATCTCACTCCATTTCTACAATTGAAATTACTGGGAAGCTGAGTTCAAGGGTTCAAGGTAAGTGATAAGTTGCTCTAAGACACAAGACAAAATCCTTCCTCATCAAAGTGTAAAACCAAGAAATGCATATATTCTCAAGAAAATATAAAAAAAAACCCACCATACAGAATTCAGTTAAAGAATAAGCTTCTGAATCAAATGACTGAAAACATTTCTAATTCTCCATGAAGGAAAAAAAAAATGTTTTACTACCGGAATAAGTGGAAAATGCAAAATGCATTATAATTAACATCCAACTCACACAATTCAAGGCAGACCTTTATAATAAAATCTAGTATGAACATAATCACAATATTAAAAAAATGAACCAAAATAAATGCCCACATTTTAAAAATTATTATTTTATTCTGGATTTCTTTCCCCCTCACAGCTAATATTTTACTTTATGTTTGAAAGGTATGCATCAAGTGATGAATTCAAGAGAATTTAAAAATAACTTTAACTAAAAAAAGGAAAACTGTAAGGCATGAAAATTATTCTAATTTGATGTAAAAGCACATTTAAGTATATTATTTCACTTAGAAAACTAAGCACTCAGTGTAACCAGGAGGGGGTGTCTTAACCCACTGGCTTGACCCATTCAATCTCTAGCAAATATCCCTGGGTGGTGGAGGTGAAAACATGTGAACCACAGATTTTACTTTGGAATAGAGCAGCACATATAACTGTCCCTAACTCATAAGGTAAAAATTCAAGTCACAGGCTGAAAGCCCTGTAAAAGACTTCATTAAAAAATAGCCTAAGAGTTAAATGGCCAAGCAACCATTTGAATGTACAGCACCATCAAAATCCATTAGGAGTTACACGATTTTAACAACAAAAGGCCAGGAAGCCAAACCAGCTGAGTTTTTAAGTGAAAAGCAATTGCTAACCCTTGAGCTCTGAAAAGCACTCTGAGTATGAGAAAACAAGGGGTCAAAGACTTCCCAAAGACAGTGCTGCTTTTCCTCTTATTCATCTCAAACAATTTTAAGTACAAGTAGAAAAGTTGTGCTTACAGTTGAGAAGCCACACAGCCGCCCATCAGGGACAATGACAGCCACATAGTCAGTGGCAGGAGAGGCCCTCCTGCTAGGAATGTACCCATCAAGACAGTGTCTCCTGGGCATGAGAGACAACAGACAGGCTGATGCTGGTCCAGTTAGGAAAAACCTCAGGACCAGCCACATGGAGGAGTTAAACCTTGTGACTTCATTAAGTCAGACTGAGCCTCCGTTTTCTCAACTACAAGGTGAGGTTAGATGAGGTCTGTTAAGGTCTCATTTAGTGTTACACAGTCTGATTCTATTTTATGAGCTATAATGTAATATTCTCTGTATATCGCCTCACATGTACTGGCTGAATTCTTGTATTTCAATCCTATAGTGCTCGAGAAAGAAATAAGAGGATGGTGTACATTTCTGGTTTTTTATTTCACAAAGCCAATGTTAAAAAATGTTTTCTGTGGCTAAAATACAACACAATGTTGCTAGTGTCCCAGTGAAACTTTCTCACAAAAGATGTGAAAATCACTGTACTTCTAATGCACTCCATAAATTGTACACTTGATAACAACTCTTCTCAATATTATGCTCAAATTTAACTAAAATCAACCTTTATTTGATAAAGAAACTGATGGCCTTTGGTGACATGGAAGCAACACTTACTAACCATGGCTGACAATGAGTCACCTCTTAAAGACTCTGCCCCTGCTCTTCCCTGGGAAAGAGATGGAGTGCACGAATGAAATATCACAATAATCATGTCACCTGAGAGAAAAATAAACCCACCCACTGTGGAGTAATAGGAAACAGACTTGGTCTTTTTCCTGGTGGCTGGCAGTCTCCTGGGGAGAGGGTGTCTTGTTATTCATCACATCTGAGTCTATACTAAGGAGAACACATGGTGGGTGAGGGGAGAGGAGCCTCCAGAAGGGGCTGGCTGGTCACCAGAAAGACCAACTGATGACTCATTACTTAAACCAGAGATGAAGGGGTTCCCTGAGTTCTGAGCCATTCTGAGAAACCGTGGAAACTGATGAGGGGTCATAGGACCCCCAGCTTACAGCTGGCTGCTCAGAAGTTTTGGAGGCCCAGATTTGTGAGTGGTGTCTGATGCACTTGCAGAACTGAGCCCTAACCCTGTGGATCTGACAATAACTACAGGTGGAGAGTCTCAGAATTTAATTAAATCATAGGACACCCAGCTGGTGTTTGGAAACCTGGAATGCTTGGTGTGGGGAAAAAATGACACACACACATCTCATGTGAGAATGTTGTGAGTATAAACAGAGTGGTTTTTGTCAGAAATGACAGTTCCAAAGGTTGAGAAAACAATGAAGGAAACTTCAAGCATAGGTCAGTTAAGAAGCCAGTTAAGACCAACAGAAGGTAAGATTCAGTAACAGGAAATGACAAGAACGTGGGGAGCACTGACATCATCTTTGAGTTCCCACGAACACAAATGGGTCCTACATGTTTGTGATAAAAGCCCCACAACTATTGAGAAGATTTCATTAACGAATACCACAAAGCCAAGTGTTCTGGGCCTTGGCTTCCTGGCATTTGGGGATGATTAATGCTGGGCCAGTCCTTGCTGTGAGGGGCTTTCCTGGACCCTGAAGGACATTTACCAGCATCTCTAAGCTCTGCCAACAGGGACCTGAAGCATCCTCTGGCTGTGACAACCAAAAATGTCTCTAGAGATTGCCAAATGTCCCCAAGAGGTAGATGGGACAAAAGTTTCATCACTAGGGATGATTATAAGAAGGGACATAGGTGGAGAGGGAGATGGATTTGAGAAATCAAATTCTTACGACACACTCAAATTATCTGAGAGAGAAGAATCTTAAGAATCAAACTCATGTAGTTATACAACCTACTCTCAAAGGAATTCTGATAATAAGTTTTGTTCCAAAGCTGAATAAAATATGGAAATGTTTTTCACAAACTGAATAGACCCTGCAGGTCTGTGATCTGAGGAAGGGAAGGAGGCAAGCCGAGACTGCTCCCTGGGTACCCAAGGCCCTGCCCTGCACAGGCTGTGGCTCAGGCAGAGGAGGGCTGCACCTGGGGAGACAGGATGGAGGTCAGAGAGGCCTGGATGGGGAGAATTGATTGATTGATTCATTCATTCTCATTCCCTCCCGTCTCTGCTGTCTCTCTCACACACAGAGTGAAAAAGGGGGTGAGGGCGGAGCCAGAGCTCCCATATGCTGAAGGTCCCCTCAAGTCTCAGGAGCCCTGATCTGCCTAAGGACTGGAGAAAGAACCCCGGGAGCCGTGGAGCTCACACAGGGCGAGCAATGGCTTGTGCTCCCCTCAGCTAAAGGCAGGGGGGTTCCGTCCCCAGCACCACACAAAACAAAAAATAGTAATTTTAAATTTTAATCATGAATAAAAATGCCACGGAAAACATGGCCACAGTGAAGAGAGAAAGATATAAAAAGGCCCAAATGGAACTTTTGGAGATAAAAATACAATATTTTAAGTAAAAATTCCATTAGATAGAATCAAAGATGAATGCTGGAGCAGAGAGTGGTGAATGCGAAGAGGCAGTAACCAGAATTTTTATGCAAGGTAAATTACTAAAATTTCTTTTCTTCATAACAAGTGACCAAATATTCCCAGAATGACTAATTCCTTTCTTCACTGCTGACTTTTTATCTGGCCACAAACATACACTGGTTGTTGATTCTGAATATTATGATGCAGCCAATGACCGGTTCTGCGCCGCGTCACACCGCTCTGAACCTTCAAGTCTTACCTCACACTTCAACACTTGAAATGAGATTATGAGATTCGTTTCTCTTTGTTTCTCCCTCTCAACACTACTTTTGTATTCTTACAGGTCTCCTCAAGATGGTCCTGGGAAATTCACTACATTTCAAGATAAATTCCCTAAGGATTAAAAGTGTATTAGATATACAAAGTTTTCTGGAAATGATCAGCATCTTTACAGTAATCATTTTTCCTTCCAGGGGTATGATACATTTTTTAAGTGAAATTTTGAGACTCTTAGTAAAGACTCATGGTTATTTTTTCAGATCTTGCTTTTCTTCTTAGGTTTTCAAAGTAATTTGTTATGTCCAATTAATATTTTGTTTACTTCTTATTTCAATAAAAATCTCTTTGATTTGCTTTACTCTCTGATGGATTAAGTTATCTATCACTAATTCAGTCCTAAACTTTTGTGTAACTATTCTTTCAATAAGTGCAAAAATGATAGGTACTTGTTAATATGGCTAATGGGGTGAATTGGGATCCACATGTTATAAATAGTAAAATTATTTCTAATTCGACCTTACAAAAAAACCAACCAAGTGGATAGAAATGTAAAGGAAACAAAAAGCTCCTAGAAGATAACACAAAGGTGTCTCCACGTTCTCTAGATATAAAAGGATTTCTTCAACAAAACACAAAAAGCACTGATTATAAACTTAAGAATTAAGAAAACCCAATCTTCAAAAGACATTGTAAAAAATACAATGACAAAACTCCATCCATCAGGAGAAATTTGCAACCCATTTAATAATGTAAGAACTCCTCTGAATCAGTAAGAAAAGACAAGCAGCCCAAAGAAAGGTGAGCAAGCAGCTCACAGAAGATCCTCAAGTAACCTAAAAGGCCAGGAAACATAAAATGGTGCTCAAATTAAAAAAAAAAAAAAAAAATTAACAGACCAAATAAAACACCACAACACACCATCATCCTCGGATTAAGAAAATGCACAGGTCTGTCAACACCAAGTACTGGCAAGAAGTGGAACAAAATGAACTCTCTGCAGATGGCATTGCAACAGGCGTTCTCCTGAGCACCACCCAGCAGAGCAAAGACCTGCAACTCCACTTTACAGCACATACCCCAGGGAAACCTTGCCCTTGTATGACAATGTTCATGACAGTTTTGTTTGTAATAAAATCACTGAAACTAATTTGGAGTCCCCCAAATAGGAGAATGCACAAATTATGACAATCAAACAGTGGGAAGTATATTGGACTATGTAAATAAAATACAGCTAGTAGTAACATGAGTGAATCCTACAAATGATGTTCAGGATAAAATACATACACACACACACATACAGGTATACGTGTGTGTGTGTGTATGTGTGTGTATAACAAACTCAATTATAGAAAGCTCAAAAATGGCTCAAGATAAAGGCTATTACCTATATGGACAAGTCTATGTGATAAGACCACGGAGAGGAATAATAAATCCAAACGTCATAGCACTGGTTATCTAGGTGGTGGGAGTGGAGAAGAGAGGCAATCAGAGTGAGCCTACTCACAGTGTGCAGGCCCCCCTTAAACCTCTGCAGCTTGAAGGCTGCCCTTTCCATCCTGAGTGAAGGGGCCCTGCCTGCCTTGGGGATGCAAGCACAGCAGGCCAGCTGCGCTGGGGGTGGAGACAGTGCACGTGCTAGATAAAGAGGGCTTCAACCCCTGCCCTTCTCAGCAACAAGCTGATGGTGACATTCTTTTTCATCCTAAGAGTACAAAGGACAAATCTATGCTGTCACAGGCCAGTCTCCACATGTGAACACACAGGCAATATGTTCATCCTTCTCTGCTCGTGGCTGTGGCCCTCACGGCCCTGCATTCACCACCAGGCCTTCCTGGTGGACACACATCAGTCACGCTCTCCCGGGAAGCTCCCAGCAGGGGTCAGTCATCCCATTACAGGTTTAACGTTTGGCTGAACCATTGTTGGGTTTTTCTGTGTATAATGGAGTATGAAGCTAGAATACACAGGTAAAAATGCATTATCGTTTGGGATTTTAATCATTTAATAACCAGAAAAAGTTAAGCCACAAAGTTAATGCTTACCTCAGCCACTTCCTTTTGAAAAGTCAAAGTCATCTGAGTTCTGCCATAAGTAAAAGGTCCATCTCTACAAGAAACGTTTTCAAGCCATTTGATAATCAGTGGTGTTGAAACACTAAAAGGCAGATTTCCAATTATATGTATATTGGGGGGATCTGTTTGACAAGGAAAAAAATAACTTGTAATAATTGTCATCAATAAATTCTGAATACCATTTTAATTAAGAGTAAAATCAAACTGGATATTAATAGCATCAAACACAAGTATCTGAAAAGATAATGACTGAGTATTGTTTGGTCCATTGATTCTTCAACATTTTTTCACAAAGTACTCACAAAGTACTTACTTAGTGCCAGTCAGGTAGTGACAGTGCTAGGAATTCTGACTTAGAAAATGTATAAAAAACGAGTTGAACATGATGAAGTTAAAGCACCTCTGGGGTGGGCAGGGGCTCAGATGCCCTGGAAGGCGATATAGGCTGGGTATAAAGATGTGAGTGCCAAAAATAGTTGAGTGGGAAGTAAAGCCACAGAAGTGGAGCAATCCAGACATGTAGCAAGAAGACATGCTCAGAAAGAAAACCAGCAAAAACAACACATAAGAACTCAGTGGAAAGAAACCACTGGCAAAGAGTTGGTAGAGAAAGTTCACAAATGTCAAATAAAAAACAGGAGGTATTGGCATTAGGGAAGATGAGAGAAAGAGAAAGAGAGAGAGAG